GGTGTGGATAGAATAGAGACTTCGCTTGCACCCGCATCCCTACTCATGTCATTATGTTGCGTGATTCCATTAATTTAAAAGGTTTTTGTTGTGCCTATCTGTAAAATACGCTATAAGAAAAAATAATCATATTCTAATAATATTTTCTTTTGTTCAATATTGGATTGATTTCTATACCAATACATCCTCAAAGTAAACAATTAAAATATGTACCGAAGTATGTTTTGGATTACATTCTTCAAGGCATTCTCATTAAGGACATTTTCGATTGTATTCGTCTAGATGTGTTTTCTCTTGAAAGATCACTGATGTGGTTAAGATAGTTAATGCATTGAAATATTATCTTTGGAAAAATCGTACTAAGTGTACTAATCTGTTACTCAAAAGGTGAGTATAGCTTTAATTAGTATTTTAATCAATGATCAATGATTATTTCCCTTAGAGTTTGAAAATTAAGCTGTTTGAAGGTTTTTTGTATGACTAAAATTTTTCTATGAAAAACAATTATCATAGTTTTAACAAAAACAAGGATTTACCTTATGGAGATGCCCCTGCCTGTCTCTATTGCAGAGTAATGTCTCTGAAAAATTGGCAATTATTTAGATGTTTTATTGATCAAATGTCATTTGAACTGCATCAGCAAGATTAAGTATACAAATAACAATTCTATATTCATGTGTAATAAACTTCAAAAACAATTTAATAAATTATAAAAACTACATATGAAGAGAATTTAACGGAAATAGACGAAACGCTACAGTTTAATTATCAAAATTCAACTTCACTCAATATTTATGCTTTATTGGGTTATTTCTTTTGAGTTTTCTTCAAAATAGATTATCTAGAATGAATTTTCAATTGATTTTTTATATTAAATGACTTTCTCTCACTTGATATCTATTTTTGTAACAACAGATCAACAATGCATATAACAGAGATCGAATCGGTTCGTTTTTTTTTTTGAACTCTTTCCGATATATAACTTTGTATGCTCGCTTGATATTTACATTTACGTATCGTTCGAAGTGATGAACTTTTCTGTTTATTACATCTTGATGCCTACAGGTCGTTCTAGTTGCTCTATTACAGCTTTATTAAATTATTCTAAACAGATAAAAATAAAATAAAATATTGTAAAATAATTTTAATTAAAAACTTCAATCGGAAATAAGTAAAAACATTCGAAAAATAAGAATGACAATAAAATGTTCTAACAAGAAAAACAAATTTTACTATTGACTTTAGTGTTAAGACTAATTTTTAAGTACTCATATTTCTTTTATCTAATTAGTATGTAGAAATATATCTATTGGAATAAGACTTGCAGTTGTTATATACTAATTTTATTTCTTTCGTGATGAAACGATATACTGCAAGCATTTTGTTCAAATATTTTTGTACATATATAATAAAGTCAAAATGTTTTTATATTATAATTTATATTTAATAATTTCCATAGAAGTAAATGTCAAAGCGTATTGAAAGGTCGTCATTTTAATTTTGAATAATTTTATCGAACGAATCAATCAAACAACTATTTATACATAACCAATGTTCTTATGATTACTGCAAAGACTCTCAATATACATATCTATATTTTATGTTCTCATACCTTTAGATTACTATTATTCAGCTACTACTTCATTGCTTACTCGATTTTTCAGTATTATTTATGCTTGTTTTTTTTTACATTCATTAGTAGTTCTACAGCGTTGTTCAATTATTAATTTTTCTCCTACGGATTAACTTAATGCTAATCTTAACTTCATTTACTCTAGTTCAAAGTGTGTAAGACACGTTTCAATTAGAGGAGGTTGACTGCACGAAATGCAACAGCCGATTTATTGTTTTTTCAGTCATTTAGTTGCTAAGAATTTTTTCTTCTTCTTCTTCTTCCACTCTACGTATGAGTCACGATTCTAATTAGTTACTCGTTCTCAGCACTTGAGCATCGTTTTGAATCGAAAGGATGCATGATTCAATCTTAAAGCAGCAATTCATATTCTAGATGTATATATATGTCGTATCGAAGTTACAACTTCGACAGAGGAACTTGTCGAAGTTATGACTTCTTCGATCGTTGTAAT